CAAAAAATGTCAAAGAAACATCATAGTATAGTAAGGCATAAAATGTCATAAAAACAACAGTGTATTGTAAGGCATAAAAATGTGAAAAAAGTCATAGAATAGTAAGGCATAAATTGTCATAAAAACGTCATAGTATTGTAAGGCATAAAAATGTAATAGTACAGTAAGATAATAAAACGATACAAGTGAGGCATAAATTGTCATAAAAACATCATACTATAGTAAGGCTTGAAAACGTAAAAAAATGTCATGGTAAGGTATAAAACTTAAAAGAACGTTTTGGTATAATGAGGGATAAAAATGTTAAAAAACATAGTAATATAATGAGGCAGAAAATGTCAAGGAAACGTCATAGGACAGTAAGGCATAAAATGTAATTAAAACATCAATGTATTGTAAGGCATGAAAAAGGGGAAAAAATGTCATAGTATAGAAAGGCATAAAAATGTCAAAAAATGTCATAGTGTATTAAGGCATAAAATATCTTAGTAAATTAAGGCATAAAAAGTCATAGTAAGACATAAAAAATGTAGTATTACAGCAAGTTATAAAAAGGTCAAAGTACAGTAAGGGATTAGAGTCACTAACAAACCTATTGTGCATATGTTTGAACCGTGGGAAGCCGGAATACCTGCAGAGAGCCCACGCAGGCACAGGGATAACGTCAAAATCCACACAGAAGGGCCCCAATCCCAGGATTCGTGCTCAGAGCCTTCTCACTGTGAGACCATAGTTCTAACCACAGCTCCACCATGTACCCCCATAAATTAATCACCATATAGTATCACATAAAAATATCATAGTATAGTTTGGCATAAAAATGTCATAGTATTGTCATAGTATAGTATGGCATAAACACGTAATAGTATAGTAAGGCATAAAAAAGTCATAGTATTCATGTTCTCATTTTCATTGGATTTTTCCACAGAAATTAAATTCATACTTTTATTAATTCACCATTTTCTGTTTACTCCTGCTAGCAACCTGACTGCTAGCCTTCAGAAGACAGAGGCCAGGGTTAGTGTGCTAGTTAACGCTAGCTAATATGGTTAAATAACTGTGATATTTGCACATGACCTGAGCCTTCAGATAGCCCCTGCCCTTTCAGTCAATGAAATGCTAACATGCCTAAATCGGTTGTGTTGGAGATGTAGCCTGTTGGAGGGCAAATTAGAATGATCTAATATGACTTCACTCCAAACATGGAGCAAATGAGTTCACTCAAATATTGGTAAGGACAGTTTTGTATTGGTAGGGACATGTCCCCACCATCCATTTGCAAACCTACACCCTTGGTCTCAAGTCAAAAATGATTGAAGCCAAAGCTATAAAATCTTGTATCAGATATCAAAATGTATGTGTGTTAAGTTAATCTAGTTTTATAACCAGGTACAGGTCAGAGAGCCTAGTTACTATTGTCATGATGTTACTTGATTTATAATAGTCCACATAAGAAGGTTTGGATTGACTTTAAAGAAAAGGATAGAGAGGTATTGGTCACAGCGATATTATCCTCCTCATTTTTCTGGTATAAGAATTTTTCCTTTCTTTTTTGTGAAGGAGGACACAGATGAGAGGCTCAGAGTCTGAACCTGATTAAAGAATGCTCTGTATGTGGAGGTGGCTTCAGGTCTTAATTAAAGAGCCAAGTGTGTGTGTGACTCAGCAGTTTGCAGTATTACTATCTAAGCTCAGTTTCCAACACAGTGAGCCTCAACCCAGTCCAACATGTGCATTAACACATCACTTACCTATCCTAAGAAGCAACCTGTGTGTCTGTGTGTGTGTGTGTGTGTGTGTGTGTGTGTGTGTGTGTGTGTGTGTGTGTGTGTGTGTGTGTGTGTGTCTGTCTGTCCAGACTTATCCCCTCTCCCTCTGATCTCCTAGCAGGCAAAGATGCTTTGGCTCTCTTTGGAAAGGCTGAGTTTCAGTTTCAGTCTTAGCTTTGTCTGCTGGACACCTTGGGCTGAAATCAGAGAGAAAAGCAGACGTGTGGTTACATTCACCATCGTAAGTGTCATAACAGCCTCCAGCTTGTTAACACAATTACTTATGATTTATGATCATGATTATGATTACAAGTATGATTATGATTATGATTATGATTTAACACATCAGTCAGTTTAACATCACAGTAAGTTCAGGAATCACAGCACAGTTTGATACAGAAAGAATCCAGTGCGTCCAGGTTTCTGGATGTTGAACTGATGTTGCACAAGTGAAAGTGTGTTAAAAGCAGGATATTTCTTCACTGTCAGGTGCAATGAGTGCAGCAGAAGGGTTGAGAGAGGTGGCAGTGACGTGGGGAGGCAGAAAAGAGAAGAGACATGCTTTCATTTCATTTTTTGCATTACAGTGAAAAATATTTTGCCACACAAACTGGTTTTTGTATTTTTTATTTATTTTCACAAGATCAGTAATTTCAGCTCTAAACCAGAACTATCTTTACAGTTTCTGTAAAAGCTGGGTTGGTCATTTGACTAAACCTAGTGAGTGAAATTAAAACAATTTCTCGGTTGCATATTACCCATACCCTGGTTATATCCTGTCTCATTGCCTTGATACTTTATATTTGATAATAACAACAACAACAACAACAACAACAACAACAACAACAACAGCAACAGCAACAGCAACAACAACAACAATGGTATATTATATAACAATTATTATTGTTGTGTACTCATAATAATTTCCCATAATCATGCAAACACAAACTATACAAAAAAGAGGCCACTGTAAATGTGCATTTAATGACATTTTACAATTTTTCTGCCAAAATGAGTTATCATGCATGATTACAAATGTACATAATATACAATACACTGAATGCTAGAGACTCCCAGGTGGGCACGCATTGCTTGGTGTAAGTGATCAAACTCAAAGAAAGGCTTGAAACAAACATCTATAGCCACCAGCGTCTGTTTCAATGACTTGTAATTAAGGGGAAGGCCTGGCACATCGTCATATCATCCCCAAGGCACAAAATGTGCAGGAACGGTTGATTAGTCTCTTCATTTTGTAAATAGTCCGCAACCCAACCGTGTGTTCATAATACCCCAAACAACCCAGAATTATGAACCACCACAATCAACTCAAGTGTTTTTTTGTTTTTTTTTATTGTGGAAATTTGAAACGTGTTAGTAACAAAAACATCATATTAGATAGTGTTGTTGGCAATATGTTTTCACTTATGGCAATTATTTTCCCATTTTTCATTTTTACATATAAATCCTCATTTTTCATATATGGGATGAAATGGCATAAGACATTTTTGATTTATATTCTATATTAGACTAGTACTCTTATTGCTGAGCTAACCTGTTTTTTCTCCAACACGATTCATTGCACCATTAACCTTGTGTTAACAAACATGGGTGGTATTGCAGTGTGGTGGCATATTGATGCCTCTATGTGGTGAAATATGGAATTACATGCCCACAGTGAAAGAAAAACTACCAAACAATACTGTATTTTTTTGTTTGTTTGTTTTTAAATCATTCATTTTTGTTCCTGTAGTGTTTGAAAAGTTCTCATTTGCACAAATGCACCCACTCACTATAGAGAAAGGGGAAATTATTACCTACAGTGTATCCACAGAACGTGCACCATGAATGTATTTATGAAACTGAGTCACCTGAGAGTGTCTTCATGGTCTCATTATACATTTGCTTTCACCCTCGGATATTCTTTTTGTTTTTGTGACTGACAGCAGAAAGCAGACAAAAGCAGCCTGTATCTCCTGTCAGACACAGTGCTGTCTGTGCATACAAAGTCCTCTGGCAGCACTGCAACACTAGGATTTGTCTCTTGATTACGTCAGTAAAACTCTTGGTTCTCAAATTTCCAAATGCATTCATATACGTACTGTATTGTGTTCACAAAGACTATGGTGATTTATACAGTTCTCATAATTTGGGGGCTTTAAGGGGACGTAAACAGGAAGTACTATGTTGCCAACTTGTCATGGAATCAGTTCATTTGTTAGCTGTGGGATTAATCTTGAGTTCTGTTTTTAGGTGACAATTGCTCACATTTCAGCAAACTGACGGCATTAAAATTATGTCGAATTAGCTATTTGCAATTCTTTTTAGCAATTCACCCATGGACATACAGACATACAGAGTTATGAGGAACATCTTTTTTGTATAATTTATAAGCAAATTTAGGGACATTTATTCACAATGGATATCAGATTGATATCAGATACTGATATGCTTGGAAAATGTAGGTCACACTAAACCAGATTATTTCATGAATTGTACAAATCCAGAGAGGGGTCAGAGTAACCAGAATGGACTCAGTGTATCTTGCTCAAGGTAACTTTGATTTGGGGTTGGTTTGCCAAGATCGGAAGTTGAATTTGTGGATCTGACCAGAAAGAGAGTTTCTCTAATCCCTACTCCACCCCGCAGAGTTTACTGTTATAGTGCATGCAGAAGTAAAAGGAGGCACAGAGCCTTTAACTTGAATTCTGTGAAGATGTACAATGCAGTCTGTATTGTGATCAGTGGCATACTTTCTATTCTTTTGGCTTCACTCCCAGACACTGAATGAAGTGGTTTAAGTGTTTCTTATCTTGGAAGGACTCCTCTTTGTTTAGCAAAGATAGATGAGAGACACTTTTTTATTTCAAATCTAATATGCTTCTGCCAACAAAAACAAACATCTATAGACAGTGTAGTGTACTGCAGCTGTGCTTGTGCTGGCAGCAGGTGGTGCTGCTGTCAAACCAAACATCTGGAGACATGATGTTACTGTACCAGCAGTTACTCTAGGATTAAGACAAAAACAGGAGGTAATTGCAGGATACTGAACAGAGTGCCTAGTTGAACAGAAATGAGATTGATCAAAATAAACTAAATAAAGAATCATGTCAAAAACAAGGGTTATACAATAAATGATTGAAATTATTGCAAACTCAATTCTCTTAAATCTGTCAATCTATTTATTTCTTGATCCATTTCTAGATCATTGACAAAGCAAGGCATCTTATTTGTTTTAAAACTAACATATTAAGAAAATTGTCTGTCAGAAATGTTTATTACAGAGAGTTTATTGCAGAATCATACATAAAGACACAGAGGTCAGCTATGCCATTCGATACAGATATAGTCACAACAATATAATCACATTTGCGTTGACACACCACCATTACATTAACTGTAAATTGTCTATGGGTCAGTTGATATCTTATAGTAAAAGACAATTGATCTGTGTTTTTTGTTACTGTGTTAAGTCTATGAGAAAGACATGAATGACCTTTAAGATCTTGACCTTATCAAAATACAATAATGCACCATTATGTTAAAATACACTTACATGCAATATAACAGTTTCACATAGTATCACAATAACAGATGACAACTATATACAACAGGAGCCAGACATTCTTGTGTGGTCTGAATCACTGCTTTTTAAAGCATATTGGACTCATCCATTCTCCCACATACTGTTCATAAACAGTATTTAGATTTTTTTTTTTTTCTTAAAAAAAATCCATACTTTGAAGTAGGCTGAAGTTTGGCCCAGAGTGGTGAACGGAACTGTAGCTTTATAATCAGTTATAACAAGTAAATTAAAATGTGTTTGCATTTATTCTTTAGGTCCAGCCTTGCTGTCCCAGAGCAGTGATGAGGTCCTGCAGTGGCTCGGTGTCTTCAGGCTCCAGCAGCGCGTGCTGCTGGCAGAATAGTGTGAGGTGTGTGAAGAGTGTGTTGAGGTGTGCGTGCAGGCCTAGAGCGAGTGTCTCTCTGTAGTGAGACCAGTAAATGTGAGCCAGGGTCCTGAACAACAGCAAAAACACTTTCTGGACCAGAAAGACAAAACCTGTTGGAAACACTGAACCTGGGAAAGAGGGAACAGATAATGGAAGTATGAGTACTGACTGGAGTATGATGTGGATCAGTGCAACACAGATGATATAAATTCATTTTACCTGTTTTAGTGGGGAACACATCTTCATCAGTGAGTAGGTCCTGAATGTATGACATTGCATAGTCAAAGTAAAGCGGAGCAGAACACTTCAGCTTCCTGCCGTGGTCGTCAGTCCAGACATAAATCCTGACAACACAAACACACACACTCATTAACTAACTTAACTACTAAAAAAAGTGAAAAAAAATAAAGTGAATAGAATTTCAATTTCATTTGTGCTGCCCAACGTATTGAACACTTGTATTAGAAGCATTTAGCAGCAGAAACAACATTCTGGTTTATACAGGATAATCCACAGTCCAATCTTACTGCACTTTTCATTGACACCATTTCTTAATACTAACATTTTATCCCATTACATCCACTTTGGAATCATTATACTGCAAGTTCCACGCACAGACCTTGCAGTAAGCAAGGTCTGTGGATACAACTTGGCAAATAAAACTATCTGCATGACAAAATACCACTGGGAACAAGTTAGAAAATGTGTTTTTTCCTACGTATGTGCAGTATAATTCTTAATAACATACGTGTTGCCAGGTCCGCAAGCAGTTGGGCAGGTGCTGGGAGTGCAGAACTCGGACAGCGCACTGGAGAACAGGTTTATATGCTTGAAAAATGCCACCGCTGAAAAATCAAGAAAAAAAGTTACATCTTGTGCATATTCCTATTTCTGTCTTTTTGCAGTGTGTGTGTGTGTGTGTGTGTGTGTATGTGAGGATAAGGAGCAGAGGACAGAGGAAACAGTAGTTTAATGGGGTCTACTCACTGTTGCTGGCAAGCCACTCAGCCTTGTCGACGCCTGGTGGCAGAGCAGTGAGGGCAAACATGTCTGTGTGCGTGATCCGCTGGCACACATACTGCTGCTGCAGATATGGACGCTCCTCCAGATTATTATTATTAATTCCCCTTGGGAGGACAGTGCAGAGTTAATGAGGCAGAGGCGGAAAGAGAAAGACAGAGGGACAGAAAATATTGCTGTGTAAAACAATCAATAGGTCAGTGGATTAATTACTCCTGCTGCAGTCATTAGATAACACGTTTTACAATCTGTGATGCTCTCTCATCCGTCTTGCCCTCTGTGGCACACACACACTCAAACACATAGAAACACTGCTGTAAGTGCAGACCTGAATGTCCAGTAAACCAAGCAGTTTATGTAATGAAGGCAGTCAATTCAGAGCCAGAGTAATTACTGTTAATGAAGCTCACTGCTGCAGTGGTCATTGCTACAAGGCAAATAACTGAAAGGCCAAATGTTGGGCAACATCACAGCTGAGAGCTGAGGCCTGATGGCTTTACCAAACCTCTCTTTCTTACATCAGCTCTTATACCTACTGATAAGCCACAGGTAGTGCTTTATAATCAGTAACACAGGACTGGCAGTTCGGGAACGTGTGATAACTAAAGAGTGGGTGCAAGAAATGAATGATGTTTGCAAATGCCAGTGTGTGCTGGAAAGTCAAACTCGGCGACATGATTTGACTTTATGCAAAACAGCGGCGCCACATTGACACAGGTACGGTGATAGCATTAGTGAATAGTTCAAAGTGTGGTGGAATCAGGCAGCTGCCAGGTTTTCAGTTGCCAGGTTTTTATGTTTTCACACACAGCAGCTGAGAGTTTACTCAGTGTGACCTTGTCTACTATGATAAGGGAAACAGTGTGCTCTCTATGGCGTTTCCCTCCCTCTGGTGTGAATCTGTGTGTGAGGACAGGGCAGGAAGAAATTGTTTAATGGTCTAAACAGCAGGTCTTTGTTCAAGGTAAAGGTCAGAAGAAGTAAAGAGGGAGGAATATTAGAGAAGAACGTAAACATTCACTCTACAAAAGGTACAGTAGTGCAAATCCGAACCATGACAAACTCCTCTAATGTCCACAGGAACTTCTTTTGCTAACATCCTGTTCTGTTCCAGCTCCGAGCTATTAACTCAGTTACTGCCTCTTGGCTCCCAAGTTGTCAGCACACAAACACAATGAGACTGAAGCTACTTGTAATGTTGTGTTTGTGTGTAAACACACTCCTGTGTGACTCTGCTCTGCTGCTGTTGGCTATCTGTTTACCTTTATACCTCTGCCGTGAGGGTGAGATAAACAATCCTATTCAGTTCACCCCAGCTGGCTCGAAAAGATTCATCCAAGGGCAAACATTTGCATAGTGACTGTGATAAAAACACATTTTCACATTCAGTCCTCACTTGTCTTCACACTACTTCTCAACATGTGTTCCTGCTGCTGGAGGAATCCACCTTCACTGATGCCATCAGACAAATATGTAACACACACACACACCACACCACACACACACACACACACACACACACACACACACACACACACACACACACACACACTTTTTCTGGAGAACATTCTTCAGTAAACCATGTGTAGCCAGCTTTCCTAGTCCTGTTTCTTCCACACCACATCCATAGCTATAACCACAGCTTACTTTTTTAACATTCATTTCCGCTCTTTCAGAATACAGGAGTATAAAATAGGTAAATGCAAAACACTAAACTTATTTTCAGACAGGAAACTGAAACATGATGAGGAGAGTTAAGAGAAAAGAAACACAACTTACAGTTTTTCATTGCTGATGTCAGAAGGCTGAAGAGTCTTGCCGTCTGCCTCCGTAGCCGAGGGGTAACTATGGCAACCCCCCATGGCGTAAAGCTAAGACCAGAGCTGTTGGTCGTGCCAGTCCCACTTTTCCATCCCAAACATAATCAACCACACAATTCTACACACTACAAGCAGCATATGGCAAACTACTGTGCCAACACAAACATCTCTCAGCTCACAAACGGACCCATGCAGCCAACAAACACAACAAGAAGATCCTCCTTTTTCACAAAGTTTTGCAAAACACACACACACACACTCAAAAAAAAAAAAAGGTAGTCTAGGAGTTGAGGATTGTCTCCTGTGCTGGAAGTGAAGCTCTCCAGCTGTCTGCCTCTCCTTTCGCTCCACTGATCCAGTGTCAGTGTGTATATGTCTCCTTTGTCTGGAGTTCCACACCCCACAGGCTCCTCCTCTCTCGGCTCCAAGCGGACAGGCAGGTTTCTCCACAACCCTTTAAAGTACAAAACACAACTCCGCCTTCTTCCCCTTTCCACCCACTGCATAAATATGCACACATAAACCCACCTCTCCACATGTATGCACTCTCTACAGAGACAGCAGACAGGTGCAGATGACAACCTAAAAGTGTTTTTTCCTCTGTGGAAGTGGAAAAAGACGGAAAGGAGGGAGGAAAGCAAGAGAAGTAGAAAAAGAAGGTTGAGCAGCAGCAGGTGTGCCCGTTATTAGTAATCCTTGTACACTACAGAGGAATGTGATGACATACATGTTGTATCTGAGCCCAGGAATGAAATCACACTCCCAGAAATAAGGGAAAGATATATAGATAGGACCCCAAGCTGAAAAGTGTTGAGAATATGAGAAGTGTGTGAACACAAAAGAGGGGTCTTCAGCTCCTCCCCCATTGTCACCCAAACTCATTTTATATCCCCCTGCAGCACAGTAAGCTCTATGTGACAGGCAGGTCTATGTTTGAACTGGGCGAGATGGTGTGAGGGTGTAGCATTCACTGTGAGTGTGGCTCACATTTGTAGGAGACACACCGTGAGGATCAGGAAGCAACATAATCCACAAGCTCACCTGCCCCTAAGGTAAACATACTCCAAAGACCAAGTCCTGTCTATGTGTTTGTTCTGTATGTGTGTGTGTGTGTGTGTGTGTGTGTTGTGTATGTGTGAAACAATCACAGGCAGTCATCTTTGTCTGACATTTATTAGGTTCATATCTGAATGTACAAGCTAAATTGACAACAGGTAACAGACACATTACTCTCTAAATGAAGAAAACAAAACAAAACAAAAAAAAAAAACACCAGCATCAGTCCACTTTACAAAAAAGGCATTTTATAACACAGCTGTCTTTCACACCACTTCCCCTACACACACACACACACACACACACACACACACACACACACACACACAAACTAATGTAATAAGCTATAATGTGAGAAAGATTTGAAATGGCCTCAGTGTAAGTAACAATGGGATGAAGTAAAAACTTATCATCCATTGTCTCTCAATTAAAGTTGTGGGCACACACTGTTCAATACAGCACATTCCCAAATGAGGTGAATGAGGCTAATGTGCAAACTTAATGGCACTTAAAGATGACTGTATTGTACCTCATGCCATTATGCATAACATCACACCATACCCGTAGCTACACTGCACACACACCACACTCTCAAGGTGAAGGAAATCCACACACACACACACACACACACACACACACACACACACACACACACACACACACACACACAGGTAAGAAGGGTCAGACGCAGTGCTTAGGTTTGACAAAAGACGGGATGACACATTCTGACCCTGTACATAACCCAGACAAAAAAACAGCCCTGTTTTTCTTCTCCAACCCTGACTTGAACCAATCCTAACTCTCTGTACAGCTCCACTTTAAACAGCTCAAAGCGTCTAACAGATAAAAGCAAAAATTGTGTGATCTAAGATGAATCTTCAGTCTATTTTTCTTTTTTTTTTTTCTTTTTTTTTTTAAACATGTGGCATCCTCTCCTACTGCTGATAACTCCATCACATGACTACAGAAGAAAAACACATGGAAAGATTGCTTTAGATAAATCTAGACCTGTAAGACCATTGTGAGAAAGGATGCTACTTCACACATAATGAAACCCAGTTGTACACTGGTGGGAAGACACACTTTGGCTGAAAGCATTGAAGAAAAGGTATATCTAAAGTATCTACATGATCCACTTGTCAAACTTTCTCACCTCTCTGAGTAGGGAATAATATGGTGGCCCTCGGCACCACCAAATACAAACCAAAAGTGCTTCTTGAAAAAGTGCTTTTAAAATAAATACAACAATCTATGTAAATCGTTCCATAGGCATATATGCAATTAAAGTCAACTCCTGCCCTGAGAAAGAGAGAGACGAGGAGAAAGATAAAGTAAAGCATGACGGGCACACGCAGACTTAAAGGATCATTTTGGTTTATTACAACTTTGTAGTTTTGGTCATGATTTCTGTTGGTTATGATTAGACTGTATTAATACCATGAAGCCTGATGGGGCAAGAGAGATGAGCATCAGACAAGGTTTAAACAAGCCGAAGGAAGAAGAGCACTAACAAGTAAATATGAATGTAAACAATGCTGGATCTTTTTTTTTTCTGAAAAGGGAATGCATTTAACACATTTGTTAGGGTTCAACCATAAACACAGTGCATTTTACTGAGCAACACTGAATGTAAACTTAACTTTTGTTTGTTTACAAGAAAACTCCACAGGGCAGCTTTAATCTGACAAATATTTTTTTGGATTAATTGATTCATTATTTGGTCTATAAACTGCAGGAAATAATGAAAAAATGTCCACCACAATTGAAATGAAATATATCGTTTTGCCTGACCAACAGTCCAAAACCCAAAGATATTTAGTTTATCATCACATCAGACATGTTTGGTTTTTTGCTTGAAAACTTACTTGAATGATTAAGCGATTATTAAAATAGTTGCCTAATATTTTTCTGTTGATCAACTACAGCAATACTCAACAAAATTGTGCATCTCTAGTTGATAATAATCCCTCATTACATAGGAAAAGTACTATATGTGCTCACAAATTATATGATAAAAGATAAAAGTTGAAGCAGTATATTGGTCTCAACCGTGATGAATGTTTACAAAGGACAGTTTTGTATTATTTTAATGTTCACCTTCATTTTCTTATCCCAATAAGATTGGTTAACCTGGTAGATTGAGACTAACAAAAGACCCAAGTTATAATAAACCGGAATGATCCTTTAAGTAAATAATACAGAAGACGAACTGCAGATTCACATTCTCACACACACAGACACACACACACACACACACACACACACACACACACACACACACACACACACACACACCTCCAAACCTCCATGTAGGAAGCATGTAGCAGAGGAACAGGAACTGATGCTGGGCTATTAACCGAAACACAGACATCATTATTGCCTCATTTCAACAGTACAACACACATACAATACACACGTTGCAACCTGCAAAAAAATCGCCTTTCCATACATTGGATTTATTCCAAAAATAGATATAATGTTTATATATACTGTTTACATTTATATTACGCTTACATATTACCAAGAATAGTCACAACCTAATACAGGTTCAAATTTCACAATATTACATTTAAACAGCTCTGAGGGTGATATGAATTGGTATGTGCACATCACTGTGTCTCGCAGGGATTTTTTTTTTTGGCGCATGTACAGATATGGTTGTGTGTACACTTGTGCATATCACAGTGTGTATGTGTGTGTGTGTGTGTGTGTGTGTGTGTGTGTTGTGTGTGTGTTACACAGGTGTGCTTTCTTTGTATCTGCATACCTCTCCTTTGACCTGAGAATGCACTCTGTACCTTAGGCAGAGCTCACACACTCACACACTCACACTCACACTCACACACACACACACACACACGCACACACACACACACACACACGCACACACACACACACACACACGCACACACACACACACACACACGCACACACACACACACACACACGCACACACACACACACACACACACACACACACCTCTAAACTACATGAATCTGTCAGAGGTTCGAGGAGAAAGTGAGACTTCATGCTCCAAATCAACAAAGAGAGAGCATTAATGTTCCACATGATAAAAGCAAAGAAATCTTACTTGGACTGAGACTTGGACTGGATGTTTGAAAAAAAAGCCAAACTATTGTCACTCACGCATTTGCACTAATAAACTGTCTGCCTGGCATGTACATTGAAATGCTGAAGACTAAATGGCAGCTAGCTTTGCAAGCATCTTGGCTTTTGTAATCTTGGCTGATTATTTGAATACAGTATTCTTTACTAAAGTGTAAACATGAAATGCTGTGCTAGAAAAATTCACTGGGCTGTGACTTAATGCCCAGAGAGCAGACATGCTCAAACAATCTGAAATTCTGATGCTGAATTTAATAAAGGATTCAAATTTCAGACTGATGTGTTTGTTTTCTTTAGATTAAAGTGCACCAGGTGGCACGCAGACACTCAGTGTCACCTCTGCTCATCACAACAAGCAATTGTGTTTTACTATCCTAGGTTCAATGGAAACGTTACATGTAGAAATAGTTCGTGTGTGACACAATTTAGCTTTGGGGGTCTTGCACAATGAAATGTTCTTTAAAACATACATTCTCCTTTAAGCGGATCTGATTTAATTATGTCATGAGCTACAGAAGAGAGCCCATGTGTAGATTTGTGGCATACAACATACATACTGTTAAGGGCTGTTTGACATTAAGGATCTTCGGACACAAAAAACGGCATTGAAGAGCTGCTAATAGGAAGCAAAGGTGGCATGGCTGTTTGTGAATGGACTGGTGATAAGCGTGTGTGTGTGTCCCTGTACCACATTGTTAGGCCGGTCCATTAGCAGAGGGCTCCGTCTCTCTGTAAGGTAAAAAAATAAAGGACAAAATTCAGATAAGTCTAGTTTTATCTGCCAAGGATCTGAGCTATACATTACACCTGTGTTTGAGAGGTCAGAAATGCCTTGTAGAGTCTTGTAATAGGACTCGTTAATAAGAGGTGCTTTACCAGGGATTTGAAGTATTTGTCTTGTGTGGTGATGTTTCCCCTACTTAATTCAGGTACATGAACATATAATCACACAGACACACACTTACTGTGTGACAGCAGTCGACTGGTTAGATGGACTGGCAGTAGTTGGGTTGGGACAGTCTCCATGTTGTTGTTTCTCATCGCCTTTCCCTTTGTCTTTCACAGAGAGCCCCTCTATTGGCACCTTAACCGCTTCGCTACAAAAAACACAAATAAACCAAGTAGAATGATGCCAGGGGATTCTCACCTGAACTGAAATCCTGGAGCCTAAGTACAGATTCAGGAGGCTGCTACTGGCTGAACTGCACCACAGTTGTAAGTTTTCAACTCAGTCCACACTGGTCATTACCATGTCCAGTGTGCACAGCAACCCGTGTATCCATTCTTTTTGTACTGCTAAGACATAGCAGGCTGTGACTGACCAAAATCAAACTCAGTTAGGCACAAAGTTTGCAGGGTTTGTTCAAATGTAGTTACTCTCAGATTCCAACTAGGATCTATTTAAATGTATCATGCTCACAAATGCACTGTTTGTTAGTAACTTGCTAATGTATTGATTTGTTAGAAAGTTGATATGTTGGATTGGTAGCAACTTTTTGTTCATAGCATGCTATCTGATAAACTGTTAGTAGTGTGGTTGCTCTGAAAGAAAATGAATCATATCAACTCGAGTCTTGTCAATTTTTAGGAATGAGACAAGAATTGTCTGTATCATATAACCACGATGAGTAATTATACACTTCTCCCAGTTTTTGGTGTAATTGCCTATGTAAGGGAAACAGACCACCACTTGATTTCTAAAATGCTGAGAGCAACGTTTCATGCTGGGTGTCGTCATTGAGACCAGTGGAGTTTGGGTATCACAGAGTCAAGTTGAGAATATGGGATGAGCCGGGCATAGGGACCTGCAGGTTCTCAAGTCACCAACTGTGGGTTAGTACATTTTTTTATGAATTAGGCTTGACCTTAACTATGGCACAAAGGATTGTTACTATAAGTTGTGTTAAACGCAACAAGCAAACAAAAACATGTGGCACATCTGTGCTTCTGATGGCCTTTTAAATCCTTCATACAACTTCAGGACAGCATTCCACACTCCAGAGTGAAAGACCTCAAGCACAACATACCGTCTGACTGCTGGTCTGAATACTCTGGAGTCAAGGGGAGATAGGAGGGAACAGACAGGAGGAGGACGATATCAGAAGAAAAACAGCGAAGGTGGAAGTAAAATTGTGCGGGGAAAAAGCTTGGAGGGGAAAGGGAAAGGAGGGCTCTATAAAAGCATGGAAGTACAATAGGAGAGGGAACGGGGGCACATCGCACCACTGAGATAGAGCCTGTCCTTCATTTGTTTGTGATCATGTGTACCTGGTGAAGACTGCCCTCTCATTTTTAGCGTCCACGGTGAGCCGGATGGTCTCTTTGCCAGCACCAGTGGTGATGGTCTCTGTGGTGACGGTCTCACTGGATGTAGACTCTGTCTTGCCTTCTTCCTCGTCGCTGTCAGAGCTGCTGGAGGAAGAGCTGTCTGATGCTACCAGTGGAGCTTTTCTTGCCACACACACACTCCACACACATGCTGAAGAAAGTGAAAAGACATTGTGTGATCGTATTAGGTTGAATAGGCACTGTACACAAATGACATGCTTTAATTTTTACCATTCCTAGTTAATAGCCATGCTGCAGCAACTTACGGTTCTGGTTTGGTTTGGTGTTATCTGATCCGCTAAGCTCCGAGTCCACTGGAGAACTGCATCTAGGGCCAGTTTCAGAGCTGGGAATATATAACGCACTATCAGTACATAGTTATTTAAATTCATAGGTACATTTTTCTCATTATATTGTGTGTCTATGGTTGCCTGTACCTAGGAATATTCTTTCAATGCATTCTCATGGAAAAACAAATCACTGGAAAAGTCACCAGTTCTGCACAAATTTCTTCTTCAACTTCTTCATCTTAGAGTATGGCTGTGTGATGCAGGCAAAGTTTATGATATATTTTCTAAATTACCAAGGTGTAATGTATCTACGAGTGTTTGGCTTTTTCAGTTCAAGTCTTTCAATGTAACAAAATGATTATGCTGGGGCTTTTGTTCAAATACAATCTATCCTCAATGAATTGTCATCATAATTTCTTTATTAGTCCTCAATATGCATTTCTGTAATTACTAAAAAAAAAAGTATTGCAAAGTGATGAGTACTATATAATTTCACAATAGTTTAATCAAAACAAACCTTTAAGATGCTTGACTTATGGCAATTTCTCAAATAAGCTCCACATCTTTAGACCTCTCCCCGACTCACCAACAGAAAGGCTGGAAGTCTGTGAACTTGGCCCACCCTTTCTCCTCTGCATCTGTGGCAGCTGGTTGGGAGGCTGGAGTGTCCCACGCTGCAAAGCCCCCTCCTGCTGCAGGTGCCTTTGAGTTCACCTCCCCAAAGTCTGCTATCCAGCCAGTGCCTGAATATGAACACAGCATCATACACACTCTGCAAGAGGCACTTACACAAAACCTGTTTTGGACCCAAGATATAGAGCAAAACAATTAAGCATAACTATACAATATAACATGTCTCACTCTTTGTTGCCTCAGTCTGGCCCTGGCTTGAGAAAGGATCCAGGCCATCTTTGGACTCCTCTCCTTCGTCTGAGTCCGAGTCGGCTGCTCTGTCAGAGACCTCAGTGCCAGAAGTTGCTGTTCTATCACAGGCCTTACTGTCTGCTTGGCTCTGGGAGGACTGTGACCCACCAAACCTTGAAACAAACAAACCATTTTAGTGTGTTTGGTTAAACAAGGAAAATTGATTGAAATAAAGCATTCCAAATGTTGAGAGCATCTGTGTTTGTGCTTGTGTGTCTACCTGTTCCGGGACTTGGTTTGTGTTGCATAGTTGATCGCTTTCTCCTCCCAGATGTCCTCTTCATCATCATCAAAGGGCTGAATCCTCTCCTTGGAACAGGCCTCAAACACAGCTGTGTTGGCCTGCATAGAACAGGTGGGCAAAGTTTTAGCAATGTACATCAATATTCATAATGCCATCAAAACATTAAGAGGAATGCTAAAACTTAAACATGAATTAATTTTGTTAGCATTGAATCAAATCAATGTTATGTAAACAAAAAGGTAAAACTGTCTGTGGAATATGTAAGTAGGCAACTGAAAGATGGATATATGTAGTGTCTGTGTATTTTTTTCAGGTTGTTTTTGATATTTTTCTGCTCGCTGGTGGCCATAAAAATCATTAATGCATCCTTAGGACTTTTACAGCCCCAAAGAGTTACAGAAATACAAAAACTTCACAGAACAAATTTGTGAGTTAACTTATGTGATGTATGAAGAATGTTAATAAACTCACACTGTCCTGGCCTCCATCAATGTTGATATTTATCTCTGCAATCCGGTCAAACGTTGCCCTACAATAACCAGAAAAATCGCTCCATCAACACACATTGGCGATTTTACACGGACAAACGGAAAGGAATATCAGTTCATTTACCCAATGCTGTCGTCGTGATCAGTAAACTCCTCATCATTGAAGCCAAACTGATCCACAAAGTTAGCCGTCATCTGCTGAATCTGGTAGTCTGAAAAGGCCTAAAACAAACATCACAAAGTTGGATCATCTTACTATAGCTGGTAATAGAAACCCTCAGTGTTTTTGTATGTGTGCGCTTATTTATGTGTACCTGCTGTATTGTCAGTTCTTTCGGAAAGGGGCTCTCCATATCATCCTCTGAGGAAGGACGTGGGTTTCCTGTGCCAACCTAAACAGGGAAGGATCACCACAAATGCAACAATTTAAGTTTTAAATGTGTGTATAACTACAAACAGCTACTGTAAATGTGCATGTGTGTGTGTCTACCAGGTCTATGGTGTTCTTCTTGTTGGTCTCGGACAGGGTCTGGTCCACAAAGGTTTCCCAGCGCCCTCTATATTCTTCTGGCAGCTCTACATCCAAAACAAAAGAACAGCAGCATTAAGAGTAATAATACAGCTGAGTGACACCTGCACCAGTTTCTTCTTTTATTAAGACTTTCCTGCATGTATGAATGTTTTGCAGAGTTAATGCCCACACACACCTGTAATGAGGCCACTGATCTGTGTGTGAACTGGGCCCTTTTCCAGGTTGTGGACGACTGTGTTGGCAATCCTGGTCAGATGTCCCATGTACCCTCTTCTCATACCACCTTCTGATCTGAAAACAGAAGTAACACACTTTAGTTTTTTTTGTTCATTTCTGCCCATAACCAAAAACAACACAGAGTCATCATCTCACAGGTCCTTACTGTATTTTATCATTTTCTTCCCAAGCCTCTAGAATCCTCTGGACAAGGTGGCAATGCTGGAACAACTTGTGAAAGAAAAACATGGAGTCAATCAATTGTTTTAATTCAGAAAAGAGCAACCACAGTGGTCCATCCAGTAGATCAAATGCCACATAAGTCTCTTGCGTCAAACACATACAGAAACACCTACATGAGTCACCATTAAGTTATGTGCAGAGTTGTCAGGGGTGAGTGAAGTCTCCGATGTAGGGGTCTCAATCAAAGCCTGCTCTTGTGATGCATCCTGATGAGGCTTGAATTTCTCCTGGGATCCAAAGCCAGGCTGAAGTCTCATTTCATGGGCACAGGGCCGGAGGATTGCAGCAACACAAAGCTCCACTTGAAGGTGCAGGAAGTTGTTCCATGTGTACTTGAAGAACAAGTCCTGAAAAAAAAGCATATACATTTTAAATAAATACAAATACATTAAATATATTTACATTTTTAAAGGGTCATTTAACAATTTTCACATTCTCAACATTGTACATTGAAATTGCGAAAGATGTTGTGTTTTTGTTCATCTCACCAGAAGCAGGTCCATTGTATTGAGTCTGCAGAGTTCCTGTGCTACGACTGCATGGCTAGCAGAGCTGGTATACAGCAGAGAGGCGACTAGTCTGGCTACGTGCAGACGTGTGTTCCCCAGTGGCTCCTCCAGCACACCCAGAGTAGTCAGCATAGGATTTCGCTAAACATGCACAAATCATACAGACATGCTTCCAATAAGTGTACAAATAGAGGGAATAGAGGAATTTGGGAAACAACAGTCTGGCAGACAATCAAACATAATTATTGAACAAAGGGGCCTGCTGCACAGCAAACTCAACTCTGGACTGACTTAAAATATCTCATTATTTATAGTATAGCATGTTCTCATTTTCTGCAAGTGAAAGAACTTGCACTTGGGTGTTTTGGTTTGGGGAAAGCCCTTTCTTTGTTTTCTAACCTTTCATATCCCATGCGTTTGAATGGCACCTGGATGAATTGTACTGCTGTGCAGGGAATCTCAGATTGGTGTCTAAAGGTTGCATTGTTACATAATGTTTCTTATTATGTTTTGCAATGTCAATACTGTATACCCCCTCCAAACAAAGCTAGAAATTAAGTTGCATTATATGTTATTGTTATGTCATCCTGCATGTGGCAAGTAATTAACTAAGAAGCCAATCAAAAGTCCCTTTAGTACAAACCAGGTAGAGTAATTGATAAAGGATAATGTAAGATATTCCATTAAAAGCACTGAACTTTGTCACTTTAATGTTTAAACAAAATGAAAAAACAAAAATGCTGTAACATCTATGTTTATACAGGAAATCTTTGTTTATCTACCTTGGGTGGCTCCAGAAGTAGCTGATGGAAGTGTGTCAGGTGTGGTTCGATGGCCAACAAAATGCTGCTGTTAATAGTGTAACTTCTCTCAAATCCCTGAGCATCCATTACACCATCCACCCTATCATAAACACAGACCAAACATATGTATATCAAAACAGAAAATGGATGGATAGAATGGTCAAACAAAAGATGTGACTAACTTCACCTAGGTACAATTTTAGAAATATAATTGAGGCCAGTGGTAGAATGAAAAATGACATTAGTGATAGTTATAAAACAAAATTAGACTGTGTTATTTATACACGGTTTAAAATTACTTTCAAGTCTCACACTCACACAGGCCTCCTGATTTCCAGCAATGTGAGAAGTACTTGAATCCCATTGACGATACAGCTCTCAGTCCTCTCTCCTGAGAACATATTCTGCAACAACTGCTCCACAGACTCCTGCCTGTAGAAACACATGGAGTATATTGTGGTCTCCACATCCTTTAAAAGAGTGTGAACCTGTGTGTGGGTGTGGATCTGTCTGACTTACGACTCAAGCACAGTCAGCAAGGGGTCAGGCTGTGAAATCTCTTGGAGCTGATTGGCCTGGTCTCTGCTCAGACGAATGATGTCGCACAAAGTCTGAGATGCATTGGACTGCCTCTGTGACAGAAAAAACAAACACACATGGACATTCATTCTTGTAAACTGTTTTATAATTTTATCATATATAAAAATATTGAAATGCCCTCCTACCTCTTCATCTCTCTCAGGGTGAATGAGCTCTATGAGTCTCTGGGCCAGCTTCTCTTCATTTAGCCACTGTTGAAAAAAAAAAAAATCTTACATTATGACTGCACACAATATCAGTGTGTAAACTGTAAAAGCATGAATCTGGGTCAATTTCTCTCATACAGTCAGAGTCTCAAGTCGAAGAAGAGGGGGCTCCACACAGCTGATAAGTCGTAGGAGCACATCCATCATGGCTGACGTATCAATATGCTTCAGGACCAAGGAAAGGAATCCCTCCTTCCGTCGTAGGAAACTAATCACCTAAACAAAACAGAGGAAACGCCATGACACAAAATATAAAACCGAGAATTGCTGTCCACACAATTAGGAACATGCAAATTTGCTGTCAACAGTTGTTAATGTTATCCTGAAAAGGTGGGATACTGTTTCTGGAAAGACATGCTGATACAAAGGCTGATATTTCAAATCCTGTGCACATGCAAGTACCAATCAGTCAGAATGCTCTTTTAATTCTGCTCTGTCAGTTTCTATATACAGCACATCTCAGCTATACTTTATTCAGTGTGTAGTAGTCATTTAGCTGCAGGGTTGAGCTTTTTAAACCTGTCACCAACAATAAGTGTCAATCAATTCATTACCAGCAGGTGTATCAAGTGGCTGTCTCTGGTAAGATTGGTGTCTTCAGAGTTGCCTCACTGAAAGTCTCATAGGACCACTTAGCAACAATATACTGTATCTGAAAAATGCATTAGCTAAACCCAAGTATGCACACATATTCACAAACTACAGCTAATGCAAACCATTTAAGTTGTTAAAGTTATCATATGGAAATATCCTCATAGCCTGATACCAGCAGAGGTAAGTGTAAAAATATGTTTTTTAGTATTTGTGATTTCAGTGAACTGAGTACAGTGAGTAAAGTGCTACAGACCAAAGTGATGGTCAAGGACAGGGAATGTTCAGAATTGAACGAGAAAATCAATAATGTATGTCACAGCTTTTGGGACAGTTTTCAAGGTATGTTTCTCTAGATTGAACAAACTGTTCAAATGGACAGGCCAGCTGACCTCGACTTCCTCAGGCCCCGCCACTGACTGAGTAAAAGCTGAACTACGTACACTGCTGTGTGTTGGAACATCTGCATTCTGCCATTTCAAGAGGATTAAAACTTCACCACCATCTTGGCTGCGAGTAATTCACAGAGTGAGCAGTTTGCATTATCTTGCAGTAAGCACCCCTCAGACATTCTGAGGTAAATCATGACAACACAAAAACATAGCTGTCTTCTCTGAGTATGCCCTTTGATTTACCCGTGTGAGTGTGTGTGTTACCTGCTCAGTCTTCCGTGTGATGAGGTTCCCAATTGTCTTGCTGAAGAAAGATGCCAGGAGGGGGTTAAGTGGGGACGGCTGCTCCAGGAAGGCATACAGAGTTTCCAACAGAGGCTCCTCATTACCCAGCTTATCATTGATCACTCCCACATCACACGTCAACAGCTCACATGCTATATTTGGATACCTGTAATAATTGAAGAGAACACACCTGGCAGTAAAACGAAGCAGAAACAAAATCAATATCTCATTTCCTACCTTAGTACACTGAGAGCGATAAACTGGAATAAAAGCAACATTTTCTGGAACATGACTGCCCTGATTTTCATAGGTTGATTACCAATAAGGCTATTAAGTAGTTTTGCTTTTTTTTCTCCAATGCATTAACAGTGATATGGTTATATAGTTGGATCAGTAACATTTTTTTACAAATCTGAGACCATTTAAGCTCTCAGCTCTACTACAAAATGGCAGGTAAGTGATATAATGTAGTGCACCACAGTACAGAATACTACATCAGCATATTCTGCACAACAGCACCTACTTGAAGCGCTTGGTCTCCTCTACACCAGCAGGGGGCTCTGTAGTAATCATAAATACCAGCTCCTGCATGCACTGGTCCTGGCACAAGAACAGGAGAAGTCTACAAATCCATAACGACAAGAAAACACAAACCAGTTAGCACCATCAGAAATGACTGGAACTGAAATGTAATTATATTAATGTGCTGCTGATATGCTAAAGCTGAAAATAAACAGACCTCCTGTTCTGAGCCTTGCACTCCTGCAGCACATCTTCCTCATCCATGAGCTCAGTGAGCGTGACATCCTCCTTGTCCAGTAAAGCCTCCAGATGAGAAGACGTGTGCAAGTCAAACTTCCAAAACATGGCTGACGTCGCGGCGTCACATACACTTAGCTGCTGACCAAAAGAGGATGTGGCATGGGGATCAGTATCATGACTTTGTTTCATACATGTACAAATTAATGAATGATACTATTTTTAACTGTGTGCAGAACAATTCATTTTGTGATACAATACACCATATGTTCTTACTTTTGGACAAGGAGTGGTACTCTCAGTCAGATCTTGCTAAACAGCCTTTTGCCTTATTGACATTGTATGGTCTGGACATCAATCAGCATTAGCAAATTCACACAATGAAGACACAAACACACCTGCTTCACTCATACCAACACCAGACACACAAAACCAGGAGAGAATGTCTTCAACCTGGTAATGAGAAATAAAACAAAAAGAAACAAATGTTGACAGAATCATTTCAAGGAGGATTTGCTCTGTCTTCCTTAGAGGCAGAAGAAGAATAGAAGTCAGCACTCTCTCTCTCTGTAAAGAGCAGGAAGCAGTGCATCTGTAATTGAATTAGTGCTGCACATCTGTGTGTTGACATTACCCGACTAGCTTTGAGAATGGCCTCTCACATACAGTTGTATCAGCAACTACTGACTGGAGTAAGAATGACAACCAAAACAAATCTCATACAGAAAGACACTTAGCATAAGTGTGCGATATGTGTGTAATACTTGTAAAGAAGACAGCTGTGTCAGCCAGGGAGTAGGGCTGCTGAGTCTGGCATTAGTTGACATCTGTTACTACAAAGTGCAAACTTGAGATTAGGTGTGGTGATGATGACAACTGAACACTGTATGAGGCAAGCAGGAGCTGTCACTGGACAATGGCTTTAAGGGAGAGACCTTCACACCTTACATCCCCCTGAACAACGTGAGACCACAGATACAGTAAATAAATCATCTTAATAAAACTAGCTTATGATCATTATCCATTAGTCCTTTGTCCATTTGATGAAATAGTTGATTCCCATGGTGAACCTGCCACCTAGCCAACATGTTTGTCTAAATTGCGGATAAGGCACAGCATAAAAATGGATATGCTATCGGATACCGCTAAGTCAGCAGTCACACACTATAACAAGTGAGTAATGTATCGTTTTATAGTGTAAAAGGAAGCTTGGACATAACTTACTCATTTCTATACACCACTAACATTGATTGCATAACATTAACGATCTCTGAGTATGCTGCCCTAGTGTACCCATCCCTTCAGTAAACATGCCAAAGCTGAACAAACAGGTGTTTTAAAGCTCAGACTATCAACTTCAGGAATTCAATCTCCCCCCACGGCTAGAAATGGATTTTAAATTTCCTACAATAGTACAACCATGGTCAGCTTTAAGACAGGCCTCTCTGTCGTCCTGAGATCAGCTGGTGGCGGTTACTGTTGGCTGTTGATGGACACTGGTTATAACAGGGTAACCGTCATATCGGTGTGGATTAGGGTTAATTAGCTTATCCATACAGTTATTGTAACTTCACGTTAAGTTAGCTTATCTATTGTTAACAACCTCTGTCGGTTCGTTTCCACCGCTTAACGACGGTGTCTTTCACTTACCCTGCATGCAGATAGCAAACCGGCCCGCTAGCAATGTCTCACTCATGTTGCTAACGTTACTAAAGTATTTCAATACGGTACCGGTGGCAAACGATGTTTAGATCAAAAGCTAACATGGGTCAGTTATTTATCACTGCGGGGCTAGGTGGATGTCCTCCCGATTAGCGTCACCGTCTTCCGACCACTTGACAGCGAGTCAGCTCGCACAGGCTTTACGTTAGGTTACATGTTTTGTTTATTTCCCCTCCAAAAGACAAGCGACCGTTACCTGTTCTCCATCATTTTATCGGTCGTCATCTGCAAGCTGAACGGCAACTCGGCGACTTGAGCTGTCAGATCATTCGGAGGCCCATGGCTGGCTATTCATAACTGCGTTGCTAGCTTTGAGATACTACCCGTTCCCGGTTGCAGTGTCATTTAACGCTACACTGCCGTTACACGGTGGTTGGCCTGCGGAGGAGCTGTATTGACACTGTCCAAATTGTACTTCAGCAGACGGCAGGCAGCTAAAAAAAATTAATCTGTCAGATTTGGAAATCAAAATGGCGGATACTTAAAACGTAATCAAAAGTTCAGCTGTCCATCAACTGAGTAAGCACTGTGTAAACAACATATTTATCTGCTGTCACCCTGAAAATTGCTGTCAAGAGCTGGGTGATTAAGCATCATCTACTACAGAAGAAATTCATAACTGTAAGCAAAGCACCCTTCCATAGGAGAAAGTAAACTACATTTGAGTTTCAAATTATGCTAAAGAATGCAATAAGGTAATTGATTTAAATTATTTCACTATTACAAGAGCCTTGGTCTCCTGTTAAGGACACTTAACTGTGTGACAGGTGTTTAGGGACTGTTGTCCTCTTCCTGACTTCAGATTTTTGCTGAAAAGCCCAGGAAGCCATGTTGAATATTGATATATTTATTTGTAACATAAACAAATAGATAAGACATTTTTAAAGGAACCCCAGAAAAAGGCTAACTCAATAAATGCTGTACTTGTCCATCACCAGGTGAACTGAGAACACTGTGCAGTTACTCTGTTCTCCCCTTGCTGCCACTGAACTGGACTTTGCCACTGTGTCAGGTTACAGGTCTACACATTCATTATTTTACCATATGTGCATCCGCAGCTGCACTGTGGAGATGCATGAGCTTGCAAACACAATTGTTGAAAAACACAAAATGTATTAGCCAAGCTGTCATCTAAGTACTGTCCGAGCAAACAGGTAACAGTATTCAGAAGGTTACATTTATGCTGCATTCGAAGAATGTTCCAGAAATGTTTCCTGAAACTTTCCTGAACTACCGTTGGGGAATATTTGCAATGGGAATCCAGCAAACATTCCCTTCACCCTTCAGGCAATGTTCGCAGGAAAATAGTTTGCTTGGCTATCCCCTACTCTTTACGGTTACTTCACTAAAAGTACAAAAGTATTGGCAGCAAAATACATTTAAAGAATTAAAAGTAAAAGTTCACATTATGCAGAGTGCTCCTCTGTGAATATTATATCATTATTATTATTATTATATTGGATCATTATTGCATTAACCTGTAAGCAGTACTTTATGTTTCTTGAAGTTGATCTAATTTTAACTGCTTGATATATGCTGAGGTAGATTAATCTACAGTTGTCACATTTTCTAAACATTCTTTAACATTCTTAAACATTAAACATCTTAAACATTCTTTAATGTTTTGTTTTATAATATTTTAATCTGAATAGTAATGTAATGATGTAAATGTTGAGTAAAAAGTAAAATATTTGCCTCTGAAATCTAGTGGAGCAAAAGTATAAACTCAAGTGGAGTACAAGTACAAGTGAGTTGATGTACTTAGTTACTTTCCACCACTGCTGTAGGCTTATGTATTTCTATGTATATCTATTTGTATATTAGCCCTTCAAATAACCCTTAAATTTCTGCAGAAAATTGTTCATCCCTCAGCAAAGTTGCTATTTACAAAATTTAAAAGCTGCAGCACAACCAACAGGAGAAACCATTCCCTCTGACTTTGCTGAAACTGCTGCAAGTCTTTTAAATAAATGGTATTGACACCTCAGGGTTAAGTTGCTTTAGCTGCTGATTTTTTTTTTTTAAAACTGGTTAAAACATATTTGATTTTTTTAACCAGTAAATGAAAATGGCAAAGCTTAAACCTTTAGGGAGCAGGAAACATGGTCTTTATGGTTGTGTATATACCCAAAGGGTCTGATCAGATACAAATTTTTAGGCCACAATTTTCTGAAGGAAAATCCTGCCATGCTGAAAATATGGTCCCTACACACCTTGTAGACCTTATTTCAGTGCTCTCTATGGATAGATAAGTGCTTCTCAATATGGAAACTCTTGAGATCTGGGGATACATAAAAAAAACTTAAAAATTCACTCATAGGTGAAATTTTTATTTCACACATTGCAGAGCACCCCTCTTTTAGGATGGCCCTAGCTGCCTATCACAAACCATTCTATTTAGCTAAATAAATAAAATTTCCGATGGTCAAAATTATTAAATGTTTGTAGCAACGGTTTTATGCATTTACTGGGGAAGTTTAAAAAATACATTTATAACCATTTTTAACGTTACTCTGGCACTCAGAAGTGTGTGAAGGCATTATTCATAAACAACACACTATTTGTTACAACAAATATACTGATTAATTTGAAAACACTGTGTAAAAACGCACTATTTTGTTCAACACTCACGAAATTAAACGATACATTTAACGTAAATACGTAAACACTGCAACTGTTTCTGGAATAATGTGGCTGCTGTTTTTGGCATCTGTCTCCGAGTGGGTGTTTGTGTGTGTGCGTGTAGTATCTGGCAACCCTGGACAGCCCCAGTCGGTGAATCTTGCGTCGGTTCCTCGCTCAGCTGAACCTCCGCAGAAGGTCTTTCTGTGGTAGCCGGTTAGCATCATGGCGAACGTTGTGGATACCAAGCTATACGACATCCTCGGAGTTTCACCATCTGCCTCTGAAAATGAACTAAAAAAGGTACGTACCCTCTGAAACGAAAAGGAAATGTGTCAGTGTAAGAGCAGAATAAAAAAGGTCACCAGAGAAATGTGGCCTAGAAACAAGCTAATCAACGTTGCTCAGCAGCATCTTGCGAGTTTACTAGCTTAGCCAGTAAGCTAAGCTAGATAACTGTTAAGTACATCGTGCCTCGGTGTTTTTTTTCTTTAAAAGATTAAAGCTACACATTGTTGATGGTGAATTACTGGCAGCATTTGGCTTCTTCGTCGTTTCTACATAATTTAATTCGGAATGATGGAGTTTGTCAGCCCTAAAATCAAGATATACTCGCTGACCACGAGTGCGATAGCTTGCCGGCTACTAGATGATACATTCCAGGAAATAGCCAGTACCAAGTCGGGCAGTAATGAAGCAAGAAATGTTAGATTAACAGCTCACCTAGATAAATATGCCAGGAAAGAAAACCTGCCTGTGTACCCACGGCGTTGGTGTAACATTTGGCAACGCTATACATGGTGTGAAATGTATCTCGAGTCAACGTTTATGGATAAACTTAGTAGCCAACGTTAATATCAGTCGTCGTGAAGCTACCGTAGTTAGCAATATGCACGTCGCTGTGTACTCCAAACTCCATTCAAACATCAGGCAGTCACGAATTGTTTATAATCCACAACAATGCGTTCCTTTTTAAAGATGACTTGAGACATATTATCACATGTCTGTAACCGCTTGTGTAATCGGGCTATATTCCATAACTTGACACAATCAAATTACTCGGTTAATTAAGTCTGAACTTCAAACATATTAGGATAAACACATGTCATCCCAGTTATTTTCCCTAACAAAATTCAACATCCTGGGTGGTGACGCCTAGCGACAGTGTGATTCATTTTCAAAACATTTTTTAATGTCGAAATTAATGTCAGATGACTGAATTTACCAGAAGATAATCACAATTAGTAGTTATACGTCTTGACATTTCTGCAGATAAAGCAGGGAAACTAAAAGATGCAGTTTTTCGTACGGAGTTTTGTTGACGTTTTTCGATACACTAGAGTGACTGAGATGTCAAAAGCAGCGATGCTCTTACTGGTGTCCTGATGTTTTTGACAGCAGGCCCACAAGTCAAGCCCTTGTCTAGTAAGGACACTTAATAGGGTTAGTGATTTGTTCGCAGAGCTATTTAACACATTTGGCAACTGATCACGGAGCGCTCACCCAGCATTGTTCACATTTATATTTGGTTTATTACAGGCTTACCGCAAATTGGCCAAAGAGTACCATCCTGACAAGAACCCCGACGCTGGAGACAAGGTATGATGCACCAAAGCATGTCACGGTAACAGCAGTAACACCATAGTTAGCAACAGGAGCAACAGCAACAGCTCAATTCCTCAACAGTTGGGACCAAGAAATGGTGTCAACTTAGTTTGTCATAATCACACAGCCCAACTCTTTGAGGATTAACATCTGATCTGTACCTCATACAGATCAGAGTACATCATATGAAATGGATTTTCCCTAGATAAAAGTATCAGTGCATCAGTGCTTGATTTGTACTGCTCTATGACTTATTCCCTCAGATGTTGCAAATGTGACACAGGAGAGTACATCGTCTTTTATATTTCGTTTCAGTTTGTAAGATGGGCTCATCAAAAACAAAACCAGCTGGCCCTAATTGTTGTGATGTACTGATTTTTTTTCTATATCTTGTCAAGCTGTCTGATTTTTTTTTCCATCATTTTACAGTTTAAAGAGATCAGTTTTGCATATGAGGTACTGACAAACCCAGAGAAGAAGGAGCTTTATGATCGCTATGGAGAACAAGGGCTACGGGAGGGAGGAGGCGGAGGGCCTGGCATGGATGATATCTTCTCTCACATTTTTGGAGGAGGACTGTTCGGATTCATGGGGGGACAGGGTAGAGGACGCAATGGAGGCAGGAGGAGAGGAGATGATATGGTGCACCCTCTGAAGTAAGTTTTTTACTTTGACGCCGTTTGGGTGATTCAGTGGCTGATTCAAATATAATGTCTTGCTTCACACATCCCATAACTCTTTTGTCACACAGAGTTTCTCTTGAAGACCTCTACAATGGCAAAACCACCAAACTGCAGCTTAGTAAGAATGTGCTTTGTGGTGCCTGTAATGGGTGAGTCAGCTTTTAATGTTTCAGTGTTATGATTAAATTTCCATATTGATATGTACTTTTAAACCACCAGTCTGATGTGGGTTTGTAATTGCAGTCATTTTGATGTCTATTATCGTTATCAATCCCACACTTTACTGTTTGCCTTCTAGTCAGGGGGGTAAAGCAGGAGCAGTGCAGAAGTGTGTGGCATGTAGAGGACGAGGTATGAGAATCATGATTAGACAGCTGGCCCCTGGGATGGTCCAACAGATGCAGTCAGTCTGCACAGACTGCAATGGAGAGGGTAATATGTTCATAACACCCACATACTGAAAAAACATGGAAAATGTACAATCATGAGCAAAA